CTGCCACGTCGGCTCCCTTGCATCCCGTAGCTGCTGCTGCCGTCGTCTCCACCCCTCAGTTGGCGGCGACGGAAGTCCTCCTCCAGAATCTTCGTCCGCACCCACTCGAGCGTCCACAAGCTCTGGTTCTGCGGCAGGCTCAATCCGCTCGTAAATTGAAGCCACGATTCTGGCAGCAGCGAGAGCATCTTCAAGCACTTGGTCTGCTCCGGGTAGGTGATTCCCGCGGTCGCCAACTTCGCGTAGAGGTCGCGCATCTTGTCCAGGACTGGTTGCACCGGCTCTCCCTCGCTCAGGCGCAACGCGGACAGCTCCCTCTCCAGCATCAACGTTGCGACAACGGAGGTCGGGGCGTGCAGCTCCTTCAACACAGTCCACGCCTTCGGACCGCATTCAACCTCCGGCAGCAGGTGCATGACGTGGTGACGCTGGTTCAGCTCCAAACTCTGCGACATCAAATAGTAGCCAGCCGAGGAGCGCTCGTCCCAATCTTCCTGCAGCGTGGGGTCACTCGGTCTAGGCTCCTCCCCAATCATTAGTTTCAGCAAACCGATCTGACGGAAATATAATTGCATTTTCCAGGCCCAATCATCATAGCCCTCACCATTGAACTTCTCGACGGTGAAATTCTTCAGCACCTCCTTGACAAGCGAGCCCTGGTTTGTTCGCGCTCCCCTTGGCGCTGAAAGACCAGAATCTTGGCTGCCGCTACGATCTTGGGCTGAAGATTCACCAGCTCCCGCCGAGGTGTTGCCCACCATAGCTACCTATAACGAGGATCACTATAACGCAGCTCTGATACCAGCTTGTTGGTGTAATGGCCTAATAAACTCAAGCTATTAGGACTTAATCAAACTTAAAACCTCTCCTCGGGGTCACCTCCAAGGGTCCCTGGGTGCCTGGTACAAGACCAGCCCCTATCCTCGGGTCCGAGTTTGTAGAGAGAGGGATCAAGAAGGACTTAGTCAAAACAGCAAGAGTACCTTGAACGTCGCGCAGCGTGCCGTGCAGACCGTCGATCGGATTAAGCTGAGAATTCGCTATATCGAAGCTCGCTCCAAGAGCTTTAAAATGAGCCAAGTTGCCTCGCGAAAAGTTCTGCCATTACTAAGTTCTGGCTCGGACAGCGTTTGCCTAGCGTTGGAGTGCTAGCATACTAGCGTTGACTCGGGTAGCATTCCGCCGTCGAATAGCGCAGAAACGAAATTCCAGCGAGGAAGGAATTCGCTTGAATCAATTTGACTATGTTCAGGTACAAACAGAGAAGGATTAAATAGTTCTAGCTAGCAAGGACCTTGGGAATCAACCTGGGAACAACCAGGGATGATCCCAAATAATTCCAAGCAACAGAACCAACCTGGCTGGACAAAATAGCAGGTGGTAGGTTGGTAAACAACCTCTGGTTCTGGTTTTCCAACCTGGGAAAACAACAACCAGGTTCAGGTTCTAAAAACAGAACCTGTTTTGTCTTTGCCCAACCAGCCAAATGCTGGTTCCGCTGGTTTCCCCTGGCCTTGTAGCATGCAGATACAGACAAACAACATCCAACCTTCACCTAAATTGTACCCCTATAGTGCCTTCCCTGCTACACTATAGTTAACCAAACAAAACAGTACAATTTCGAGTTGGATAGAACTGAATCTGCGCAATCAACTCAACCGAACTGCAAAGCTTCCATCTTGGGTTCCTTCGCGAGCTCGTCCTTTCTGCTTGCACTGTTCATAGCGCGTACAATGTTGTGCCGAAGCGCACATTGCGCGAGTACCTGCAAATGCATCAAGCGAAAAATGCGAAAGCAAACAAACACACGAACACACCATTCACACGCAAATGCATTCGCACACGCATACTCGTACAAACAGACGGCAGGATGTCGTGCAATGTGCATTTGCACCCAACAATTGCCACATGCCCTAAGCGCCGGTGTGCCGTTGCCCAATCTGTCTTCCCAGATCTGGCCGACACTTTCACACCAACCCCTCCAACGGCATTGCACTCCCCCTGGGATGCAGACCCCTCTCCAGCCTGCCCCCCACCATGCCACGCCAGGGCCGGCAGCTGCCACATAGATCTGTACACGTCCTTGCTCTCGTGCAGATCCCAAAGCACCCGATTGCCCAGCTTCCCCTTATAAGTGCGTGCCCCATCCGTGTTGGTGTTCACCCCAGCCTTGCCAAGCTTACGGAGGGAGATAAGGTTGGCCTTCAGGTCGGGGACGAAGAGAACGTCGTGCAGCACCACCAGCTTGCCATCCGCTCCCTTAAACGCAGCTCGTCCCGCACCAGCCACCTTCAACATGTGTCCAGAGGCGGAGCACACTTCATTGATCGGTGCAGCTCGTACTTCGTCCAGCAGGTCCTTGCGCGGCGTCATCGTCCAAGCAGCGCCTGTGTCCAACACCCAATAGTCTAGGGGGTGCAGCTCTGCTCCAACTTTGGCAGAGGCGTCTCCTTGCTCCCCCTTGTCTCCCACATGGAAGAATTGGCCCGCGGTGCGCTCCTTCTTCTTCTCCGCACCGCCGTTGCCCTTCGGGTTGTTGTCGGACGAATCAGCGACCATGTTGGCGCCGTTTTTCTGGTTCCTCCGCGCGCCGCCATCCTGGTGACGATTCTGGGGGGTCCATCCATCGGGTTTCTTATAGCACAAAAACCAGGGGTGCCCTTCCTTCTCACAATACCAGCAACTCCCTTTCATTTTGCCACCAGCACCCGACTTGCCCCCACGTCCAGATTTCGCACCGCGACCCCAACCGGTACCTCCTTGTTGGTCGTTGGAGTCGTCGTCTTTCTTTGCACCGCGTCCAGCACCACCGAAGCCACGTCCTCTGCCACGTCGGCTCCCTTGCATCCCGTAGCCGCTGCTGCCGTCGTCTCCACCCCTCAGTTGGCGGCGACGGAAGTCTTCCTCCAGAATCTTCGTCCGCACCCACTCGAGCGTCCACAAGCTCTGGTTCTGCGGCAGGCTCAATCCGCTCGTAAATTGAAGCCACGATTCCGGCAGCAGCGAGAGCATCTTCAAGCACTTGGTCTGCTCCGGGTAGGTGATTCCCGCGGTCGCCAACTTCGCGTAGAGGTCGCGCATCTTGTCCAGGACTGGTTGCACCGGCTCTCCCTCGCTCAGGCGCAACGCGGACAGCTCCCTCTCCAGCATCAACGTTGCGACAACGGAGGTCGGGGCGTGCAGCTCCTTCAACACGGTCCACGCCTTCGGACCGCATTCAACCTCCGGCAGCAGGTGCATGACGTGGTGACGCTGGTTCAGCTCCAAACTCTGCGACATCAAATAGTAGCCAGCCGAGGAGCGCTCGTCCCAATCTTCCTGCAGCGTGGGGTCACTCGGTCTAGGCTCCTCCCCAATCATTAGTTTCAGCAAACCGATCTGACGGAAATATAATTGCATTTTCCAGGCCCAATCATCATAGCCCTCACCATTGAACTTCTCGACGGTGAAATTCTTCAGCACCTCCTTGACAAGCGAGCCCTGGTTTGTTCGCGCTCCCCTTGGCGCTGAAAGACCAGAATCTTGGCTGCCGCTACGATCTTGGGCTGAAGATTCACCAGCTCCCGCCGAGGTGTTGCCCGCCATAGCTACCTATAACGAGGATCACTATAACGCAGCTCTGATACCAGCTTGTTGGTGTAAGGGCCTAATAAACTCAAGCTATTAGGACTTAATCAAACTTAAAACCTCTCCTCGGGGTCACCTCCAAGGGTCCCTGGGTGCCTGGCACAAGACCAGCCCCTATCCTCGGGTCCGAGTTTGTAGAGAGAGGGATCAAGAAGGACTTAGTCAAAACAGCAAGAGTACCTTGAACGTCGCGCAGCGTGCCGTGCAGACCGTCGGTCGGATTAAGCTGAGAATTCGCTATATCGAAGCTCGCTCCAAGAGCTTTAAAATGAGCCAAGTTGCCTTGCGAAAAGTTCTGCCATTACGAAGTTATGGCTCAGACGGTGTTTGCCTAGCATTAGAGTGCTAGCATACTAGCGTTGACTCGGGTAGCATTCCGCCGTCAAATAGCGCAGAAACGAAATTCCAGCGAGGAAGGAATTCGCTTGAATCAATTTTACTATATTCAGGTACAAACAGAGAAGGATTAAATAGTTCTAGCTAGCAAGGGCCTTGGGAATCAACCTGGGAACAACCAGGGATGATCCCAAATAATTCCAAGCAACAGAACCAACCTGGCTGGACAAAATAGCAGGTGGTAGGTTGGTAAACAACCTCTGGTTCTGTTTTTCCAACCTGGGAAAACAACAACCAGGTTCAGGTTCTAAAAACAGAACCTGTTTTGTCTTTGCCCAACCAGCCAAATGCTGGTTCCGCTGGTTTCCCCTGGCCTTGTAGCATGCAGATACAGACAAACAACATCCAACCTTCACCTAAATTGTACCCCTATAGTGCCTTCCCTGCTACACTATAGTTAACCAAACAAAACAGTACAATTTCGAGTTGGATAGAACTGAATCTGCGCAATCAACTCAACCGAACTGCAAAGCTTCCATCTTGGGTTCCTTTGCGAGCTCGTCCTTTCTGCTTGCACTGTTCATAGCGCGTACAATGTTGTGCCGAAGCGCACATTGCGCGAGTACCTGCAAATGCATCAAGCGAAAAATGCGAAAGCAAACAAACACACGAACACACCATTCACACGCAAATGCATTCGCACACGCATACTCGTACAAACAGACGGCAGGATGTCGTGCAATGTGCATTTGCACCCAACACTCCTTGCCGGCTTCGACGGCCGCCACGTACTCCGACTCGGTCGACGACAGCGTCGCGCACTTGATGCGCTGGCTCGACCAGGAGACTGCGGCCCCTCCGTAGACGAACGCATAGCCGCCCGTGCTCGTCCGGTTCTGCTTGTCATCGGCGTCGTCGGCGTCCACGTAGCCGACCAGCTCCAGCGATTCAGGTCCATCGCCGAACTCCAGAGCGGTGTCACGCGTGTTGGCGAAGTAGGCGAGGCAGCGGTCAACCTTGCGTCAGTGCTGGTCGCTTCACCATGAGGCCACTCCCCAGCTTGCTGCAGGCGAAGGCGATGTCCAGCCTTGTCGTCGTCGCCGCGAACAGCAGCGAGCCGACCTTCTCCCCGGTTTTCCTCCTCCTGTCGCTCTTGCGTCTCTTCGTTTGTTGAAGGTGAGCTCGGCGTAGGCGTCGACCGAGACCGGCGTCTTCGGAGTCCGACCACCTTGCTCCTCGTCGATGAAGCGCCTACGCAGCTTGTCGGTGTAGCCCTGCTGGTGCAGCCACAGCTTCTTCGTCGACCTGTCGCGCACGATCTCCAGCCCGAGGTACTTCTGCACCGGCAAGAACTCGCCGACCTTGAAGTAGAGGGCCTCGTCGACCTGGCTCTTCTTCCAGCCAGCGCCGACCAGCACGTCGTTGAGCGCCAAGTACCACAGCAGCGGCGACTGCTTCAGCCCGTACAGGCTCTTCAGCAGCTTGCACACCCGGCCGGTCCCGTCGTTGAAGTAGTCCGGCTGGTACATGTACAGCACCCGGTCGAGCTTGCTCTGCAGGAAGGCGTTCTTCATGTCGAGCTGCATCAGGTTGAGGTTGAGGACGGCGACGATGCTGAGGAAGATCCTCAGCGTCACGTAGCTGCCCACCGGCGCGAACGTCTTGTCGTAGTCGGCGCCGTACACCTGCGTGAAGCCCTTGACGACCAGTCTCGTCTTCTCTCGCTCGACGGTGTCATCGATGTGGTACTTTATCGTCAACATCCACGGGTTTTTCATGATGTTGACCCCCGGTGGGCGTTCGATCAGCTCACACGTGCCCATGTTGATGAGGCTGCGGATCTCCCCTTCCATGGCGGCCTTCACCATCGAGCCCTTCCAGCTGGCCAACGCCTCCTTCACCGTCATCGTTGAGATGTCTCAACAGTGATCGGGGTCGGCTAGCATGTCGGGGCCGAGCTCCGAAAACTCTTCGTCCTCGTCGTCGTCCTCGTCGACCACGTCGTACACCGTGGTGAAGGCGGCCGGGATGAAGAAGTCGGGAGGCCTCCGAAGTCGACCTATATGCCGTGGTCCAGGCGGAACCTCCTCGGCGTTACTGTCGGCGGCTCCTTGTCGCCCAACTGCTCCCTTTCATCTTCACTGGCTCCGCCACCGTAGTCGTCCTGCTGCACCTCGGTCGGCGTCCCGACCGATTTCTCCCCTGCGGTCAGCTCCCCTGCTGACTGCCAGGTCGCCGACTGCTCCTTGGTCGGCCGCGCTGCTGCCTGCTACCCTGTCGGCTGCGCCTGCTCTGTCTGCTGCTTCCCCGGCTGCCCCTTGGTCGACTTCACTTCCAAGCCGATTTGCTGCTCGTCCCGTCGGCCACCGGCGATGCCCCTGGTCGGTGCCACAGGCGACGCCCCACGGCTCCCCTCTTCGCCGGTCGACCACGCAGGTCGACGAGGAGAGGGGCGACGAGGGGAGGGGCAGGGGAAGGGTGGACGACCTCGGCGTCGTCCTCAGCAAGCTCACCGACCTCGGCGAGCAGCGGTAGTGTTGCTGTCGAGGTATCCGTCGGCGTGGCCACCAGCGTCCGCCCTGACACGGGCCCATGCTCCGACTTCCACACCTCGAGCGACATGGTCTCGTAGAACATCACGTCAGACGTAGTGACCACCCGGTTGTCGGCAATGTCGAGGAGCTCCGAACCCTTGCTCTCCTCCGACACGCCGATGTGAAGGCCCCACCTTCGGCTTCAGCTTCCCACCGCGCTGCTGCTCGGGGACGAGGAATTGCGCCATGCAGCCCCACACGCGCGCCAGCGACAGGTCGGGCTTCGTCCCGGTCAGCAGCTGGTACGGCGTCGTCCCCGGCGTCGCCGACCGCTCCAGGCAGTTGCGGACCCAGACGGCCTGTCGCAGAGCGAGGTGCCACCTGTGGTGCTGCACGCTTATGTGCAGCAGCATCGTCCACGCCGACTCCACCATCGCCCGCATCTCCCGCTCCGCCATGCCGTTCTGGTTCGGGGTGTAGGGGCAGGTCAGGTCGTGGACGATCCCCTTGTCGTCCACGAAGGCGGTGAACTCCCCGCAGCTGCAACACCGACTTCTTCGTCTGCCGTTCCACCAGCACCAACCACTTCTAGAACTCTAGCAGCACGTCCGACTTCCTGGCGACCGGCCTCACCCACACGTAGCGGGACTTACGGTCCTTCAGCAGCAAGAAGTACAAACTGCCATCCGCGCCAGAATGCCGCCGACTTCATCACCGTGAATCACACCACGCTGCCTCGACGACATGCCTCCCGCACTGCTGCCAACTTGGTCACCACCAGCGTTGACGCCCACGTCGACGCCGCCCTCGGTGTTCACCGGTCGAGGAGATGCAGGCCGAGAAGGAGGGTGTTCCACCGCCCACACTGAGCAGATGCTAGCGTCGACGACCGCCTAGGGGAGGTCTCCGAACTCCTCATGGCGTCTCCTCGCACTCTCCAGCCGTGCCTCCAGGGTGTCCACCACCCCCGTGTCACCTATGACGTCTACCATGGTGACTACCGCACAGCTGCCGGCCTACGGACCACTAAGGTAAGGTGCAACGAAGTCAACTAGACTGAAAGGTAAGTCGTTGTGCCGTCCACGCTCACCGCACCATGCGGAGATAATTACTACTACGGGAGCTAGGCTACAGGCTAGGCACGGATGCTCGTGTGATCTCTGGGTTCGTTGTTCTTTGGTCGTTTACTAGTGCACACTGCTTGCTAGTTCACGGGGCAAATTGGCAAGAGTTTCACTAGAGAAAGTTGACAACAATGATACAATGAAGTTGGCAAGACTAGACTACATCAGAGCTAGGATGCAAGCAGGTCGACTGCCAGCGCAGCATGGTCGACCGCGTGCCAGCACGACTTGGTCGACCGCGCTGCAGGTCGACGACGTGACAACAGCGCAAGTCGACGGCGTGCCAACGTTGCTCCGCAGTACAGCATCGCACTCGCTTTGCAGGTGCTCGCAGACGATTGGCGTGCAGTGCCTCGTCACCTGCACAGTGCACAAACCATGTCAACTTCGTGCTGACGACTGCATCTGATCTGCCAGGTCGACCTCGGGATACCACCACCGAGGTCGTCCTCGCCAACCTCGCCTGGGCGACCTTCGCGTGCCTTCGCAGACCCTCGTCACCCAGGTAACCTGGTCGACCAGGCAACCGCGTCGACGAACCGCTCCCATGCGTGCCCGTCGACCACTCCAAGTCGACCTCACCAGGTCGACGTCCCTCCAGGTCGACCAGCACTAGCCGACCACCAGAGTCGGCTACACGAAGTCGGCGTCAACACGTTGACGCCCAGCTGTTCGGCGTCCTGAATCCCTCTGTCGAGGTCGACGTCGACCACCAGGTCGACCTCACGCCTGGTCGACCAACCACCAGGTCGACCAGCTGGCATGGTCAACCAACCAAATCGACCAGAAGGTCTGGTCGACCAACCAGGTCGACCAGCAGCTCTGTCCGCCGACCATCCAAGTCGGCTGCCTCAGGTTGGCGTCACCAGGTCGACGCCCTCTGCAGGTCGACTTTCCAAGTCGACCACACAAAGTTGGCGCCCTCCCAAAGTCGGCGCCCATGCAGTGGCTCCCCGTGCAAGTCGACCAACCCGTCGACCAGCTCGCCCACTGCTAGAGGCCGGCTGCAACCCTATACCCGACCACGAAGTCGGCTCCGCCCAAGTGAGGACGGGGCCAACACACAACTCCCATTTACATTCCTTACCCATATGGTTGGTACCAAGAGTAAGCGCGTTACTTACCCATATGGTTGGTACTGAGAAGTAAGTGCGTTACTTAGCCATATAAGTGGTACTAAGAGTAAGGAAGGTACATAGCCTTGGTATCGAGAGTAAGCGGGTTACTTATTCATATGGTTGGTACCAAGAGTAAGCGCGTTATTTAGCCATATGTTGGTACTGGAAGTAAGCACGCTACTTACCCATATGGTGGTTCCAAGAGTAAGCGCATTTCATACTTATCCATATGGTTGGTACCAAAAGTAAGTGCGTTACTTTCCCATAAGGTTGTTACCAAGGGTAAGCGCGTCACTTACCCGTATGGTTGGTACTGAGAGTAAGCGCTGTCCTTATCCAAATGGTTGGTACTGAGGCTAAGCTCGTTACTCACCCATATGGTTGGTACCGATATTAAGCGCGTTACTTAACCATAAGGTTCTGACCGGAAGTAAGCGCGTTACTTACCCATATGGTTGGTTCTGTGAGAAAGCGCGTTCCTTACTTATATGGTTTGTACCGAGAGTAGGTCCATTACTTACCCATCTAATTGGTACCGAGAGTAATCGTGATACTTACCCATATAGTTGGTACCAAGAGTAATCGTGATACTTACCCATATGGTTGGTACCAAGAATAAGTGCGTTACTTACCCATATGGTTGGTACCGAAAGTAAGCGCGTTACTTACCCATATGGTTAGTACCAAGAGTAATCACGTTCCTTACCCATATGGTTGGTACCAAGATTTACCGCGTTCCTTGCGGAAATAACTACTACGGGAGCTCGGCTACGGGCTAGGCACAAGTGCTCATGTAATCTCAGTGTTCGTTGTTCCTTAGTCGTTTCCTAGTGCACACACTGCTTGCTAGTTCACAAGGCAAATTGGCAAGAGTTTCACTAGAGAAAGTTGACAACAATGATACAATGAATTTGGCATGACTAGACTACATCAGAGCTAGGATGCAAACAGGTCGACTGCCAGCGCAGCATGGTCGACCGCGTGCCAGCACGACTCGGTCGACCGCGCTCCAGCAGTGCAGGGACGCGGCTTGCCAACGCTGCAGGTCGACGGTGTGACAACAGCGCAAGTCGACTGCGTGCCAGCGTTGCTCCGCAGTACAGCATCGCAGACGATTGGCGTGGAGTGCTTCGTCACCTGCACAGCGCACAAACCAATTCAACTTCGTGCTGACGACTGCATCTGAACAGCTGGGATTCAACCTGTTGACGCCGAGTTCGGGTAGCCGACTCTGGTGGTCGGCTAGTGCTGGTCGACCTGGAGGTGGTCGACCTGGAGGGACGTCGACCTGGAGCTGGTCGACCGAGGGTGTGGTCGACCTGGTGAGGTTGACTTGGAGTGGTCGTTGACCTGGGTGGTCGATGGGCACGCACGCGAGCAGCTGGTCGACCTCGGGATACCACCACCGAGGTCGTCCTCGCCAACCTCGCCTGGGCGACCTTCGCGTGCCTTCGCAGACCCTCGTCACCCAGGTAACCTGGTCGACCAGGCAACCGCGTCGACCAGCTGCTCGCGTGCGTGCCCGTCGACCACCCAGGTCGACGACCACTCCAAGTCGACCTCACCAGGTCGACCACACCCTCGGTCGACCAGCTCCAGGTCGACGTCCCTCCAGGTCGACCACCTCCAGGTCGACCAGCACTAGCCGACCACCAGAGTCGGCTACCCGAACTCGGCTACGAGTCGCCCAGCTGTTCGGCGTCCTGAATCCCTCTGTCGAGGTCGACGTCGACCACCAGGTCGACCTCACGCCTGGTCGACCAACCACCAAGTTGACCAGCAAGCATGGTCAACCAACCAAGTCGACCAGAAGGTTTGGTCGACCAGCAGCTCTGTCCGCCGACCATCCAAGTCGGCTGCCTCAGGTTGGCGTCACCAGGTCGACACCCTCTGCAGGTCGACTTTCCAAGTCGACCACACAAAGTTGGCGCTCTCCCAAACTCGGCACCCATGCAGTGACTCCCCGTGCAAGTCGACCAACCCGTCGACCAGCTCGCCCACTGCTAAAGGTTAGCTGCACCCCTATAACCAACCATCATGTCGGCTCCGCCCAAGCGAGGACGGGGCCAACACACAACTCCCGTTTATATTCCTTACCCATATGGTTGGTACGAAGAGTAATCACGATACCTACCTATATGGTTGGTACTAAGAGTAAGTGCGTTACTTAGCCATATAAGTGGTACTAAGAGTAAGGGAAGTACATAGCCGTATTATTGGTATCGAGAGTAAGAGGGTTACTTATTCATATGGTTGGTACCAAGAGTAAGCGCGTTCTTTAGCCAAATGGTTGGTACTGGAAGTAAGCGCGTTACTTACCCATATGGTTGGTTCCAAGAGTAAGCGCGTTACATACCCTTATGGTTGGTACCGAAAGTAAATGTGTTACTTAGCCATAAGGTTGCTACAAAGGGTAAGCGCGTTACTTACCCATATGGTTGGTACCGAGGGTAAGCGAGATACTTATCCATATGGTTGGTACCAAGAGTAAGCGTGTTACTTACCCATATGGTTGGTACCGAAAGTAAGCGCGTTACTTGTTGGTGTAAGGGCCTAATAAACCCAAGCTTCTAAGACACAATTCAAACTTAAAACCTCTCCTCGGGGTCACCTTCAAGGGTCCCTGGGTGCCTGGTACAAGACCAGCCCCTATCCTCGGGTCCGAGTTTGTAGAGAGAGGGATAAGAAGAACGCAATCAAAATAGCGAGAGTACCTTGAACGTCGCGCAGCGTGCCGTGCAGACCATCGATCGGATTAAGCTGAGAATTTGCTATATCGAAGCTCGCTCCACGAGCTTTAAAAGCCTTGCAAAAAGTTCTGCCATTACGAAGTTATGGCTCGGAAAGCGTTTGCCTAGCATTGGAGTGCTAGCGTACTAGCGTTGACTCAGGTACAAACAGAGAAGGAATAAATAGTTCTAGCTAGCAAGGACCTTGGGAATCAACCTGGGAACAACCAGGGATGATCCCAAATAATTCCAAGCAACAGAACCGACCTGGCTGGACAAAATAGCAGGTGGTAGGTTGGTAAAACAACCTCTGGTTCTGTTTTTCCAACCTGGGAAAACAACAACCATGTTCAGGTTCTAGAAACAGAACCTGTTTTGTCTTTGCCCAACCAGCCAAATGCTGGTTCCGCTGGTTTCCCCTGGCCTTGTAGCATGCAGATACAGACAAACAACATCCAACCTTCACCTAAATTGTACCCCTATAGTG